GCAATCTTTGGTTTAGAAGACGATCAACAAGGATTAATGTATTCAGTCAGACCTCGAGATACCACCGCATAAAGAGGTATGCATTCTAGTTTCTGAACATTAGACCGTCGGCCAATAAAGTCAAAACACACTACGCCTAATGACTCGCCCACATCGACAGATTATGTGCGCTCATCGCGTGCAAGAAGTAAATTTGTGGTGCACAAATGCGCTTGTGCCGAAATCCGTCCTGATTTGGAGACAAAATCTAATGCTTCTCCAGATAATCCTTCAACAGATTTGCTACAACAGCCTCCATGTATTTTGACAGTATTAGAAGAAGTGTAACAAGGCGATCGTTGGCGGAGTCACGGCGAGACCGCCCTTTTGGAAATGGGTGAAATCACCTCGTCCTTCCATGACTGCGGAATAATCGCCTTGTTGATCATCCTTTGATAAAAAGACAGTCAGAAGCTTGGATCTGTCGTTGGCTAGTGAGATCAGAGTCCGAGGATGCATGTTGTCCACGTCTGGAGACGAACGTTTACGGAACGTTAGTAGTTTTGTTCTAACCAGTTCGCCATCGGAAGCCATAATAACCAGTGACAGATACGGTGTTCCGGGGTAGTTTGATTGGAATCTGTAACGGTTTGTGTGTCGTTGTAGTGAAACGTTGATCCACCACCGCCCGTCTTCCCTATATCTGTATTTTCCCCAGGCGGCAATCGTATGGCTACAGGCCGCTTCCTGAAATTTTACTGTACATTTGTATATTCAGGCTGGATGTTTACTGATGGGCTAGAAGTAATGGGAGTACATTTGGCAGTAAGCAACCAATCACTAACGAAGTGCAGATCCTGACTGATGGTATCGAAGCAATGCGTGGGTTTCATCACTGGCGAACACACACATGAGAGTTTCATACGTTAGCCGTTTGATAGTGCAATGCCCATCGCCAAGCTCGATCACAGACGTGTGTTGAATTGGGCTTTTTCTTGAAACAGTGGAATTAGGCGTGACAACCAAACAAACAATGCACCGAACAGCAATCGATAATTTGTCTCCCTCTTCCTTTTGCGTTTGTGGCCCATTTATGTTATGAACTAAAAGCTTCCATCTTTGAAGTATTCTGCAACAAGTCCGTGTTCCAGAATCGTTTACCGTGAATTGTGATTTGTTGTTGTTGTTATTTTTGTTGTTGGTGCTGTTGATGTTATTCTTGTTGTCTACTGGAGACTCCGCAGTTGTCCAATGCTCTCCCTATCCGACAATTGTTGCAAAATGTAAGCCTAGTGCTTTTCTTGATTTCAAATTCGTAAAGTCCAAGGTCATCCTCAAATCCTAGATAATCGCGTCTTCTATCGAGCAAGCGGGCAGTGAACAAGTAATACGAAAGACCATTTCATCGTAAACTGTTCAATTAATCTGTTGATGCGCAATCACTCAAATTGTCAAAGCGAAAGACTCATCGTCTGCCAGGCTGAAAGCGCAGAGAATTCCACCAATTCTCTGTAGCAATCAAAGTACGTATGGATTACGTTTCACAAATCACAGTCTCTACTGAGACACAGAATCACGCTATCAGCTGTACACCGGAAAGTTCCATCACAGAGACACTGGAAAAACGCTTCAGAAGAAGTGGATTATTTATTGAAAAAATCAATGAGATTCAATAATATGCGAATATAAATATCGCTGACCAAACATATGTCGAACAACGTTCTATTTCTTCGAGTCACATCTTCTGTTTCCACTGTATTTCTGCTAAGTGTTGGATACTTTTGTAGCA